CTTATAAATGTATGAAATAGAGAGAGACAAAGAGAAGAAAGAAAGAGGTGGGGGGAGGGGGAGGGGCCCACCTCCACTTGGTGAAACCTGTAGGCATAGGCTGATCTGGGCAAGACCTCCACCCTATCCACGAGGTTTATGTCCTCCAAGTCCACCATCCACCAGGGACGGGCGACGCTTCCGTGGCTAATGAACAAAGTAGATTCAGATGCATCGTTGGCGTATTGTGGGTAGTAGCTGCAAATATAAAAATTGTGTCTTGTCAGAATGAGACAACACTTGCCCTTCCTGAATGAGAAAGGCTGGGCATCAACCTTATTATGTACGTTTGCAACAAATATATATATATGTATATATATATATATATATATATATATAATTTTATGCTTTATATGCTATTATAACCTTCCATCATTTCCTGTATTTCCAGTTCAGACGAGTAAAACTTTTTTTTATAGTACCTTTGAGCTTTTGTAGGTGAATATCACAAGTTTGGTTTATATGTCAAATATTTAATCCATTAATCCAGTTTTTTGTAGGGTAAGTGCTAATTACAAAGAATGGCATACTCTCATCTCATTTTCTTGACCTCACTTCTCGTTACTGTTAATCGTTGTGTGGAGTTAAACATTATGAAATCGTTCATATATCAAGTGTCTATTTACTTTTTTCGTTATTTATTTTGTATCAAATTTAGCGCATTCGTGATTTTATTCTTTTCATGAATATTCACTCATTAAATTCTTCTCTCACCATTTGCTGTCTTGACCTGACCTCACCTGAAAGTCATTAAGTCAAGTTCGCTAGGAACAGCTGGTAGCTTTGACCTGACTTGACCGTGAGTGGTTATCACAGGAAATGCCTGGAGATAAAACAGGTTGCAAATTCTCTTTAATTGTTTGAACTAGTTGTCACAATATAGGGTTAATGCATAGCAACCGTTACATGTTCATTGGTGACACGTTCTATCGGCGCTAGAACCGAACTTGTAACGCAACTTGTATAATTAAATATAACACCAAGAGATATCCTCATACATAGTGTCAGAGTGTCTGAATACTTGGGGTTGCATTGATGTGTAATGTACTCGGCGTCCCGACAGATGATAGTAAGTTAAGGTAACTGAAGTAAATCATACATTCGGCAAACTTTGAGCCAGGGTGACCGCAATTCTGATTTAGGATCCACTTAATTAATCACAACCCGCTCACACTTTTACATGTCGCCGTCATGTTGGGTAGATCCCATCGATTTATGATCATGATAAATTCCCGTAGGGCATTTCATGAGTGCCCATCATAGATCCACAGATAGAGTGGGTAATTTATAGATTTTCCCAGCTCGTTTAAGCTTCATAAGATACGGCATTTTAGGGTCGCGTCCCCCCGTCAAATGAAATCTGCATGACCGGTAAAGACATACCTACTTCCTCGGAAATGCCCAAGAAGATTTACTTGCGAAGAGGCTTGCGAATAATTTTCATGTCACCATTCATTAATGTGTCATTTTGTTGCATATCATTAAATGTTAAATTCAATGTGGTACTGGAAATAATTTTAAATTATGTCTATAAGCAATTAGTCGCATTATTGTTAAAATGAACTTTATTCAGTGTGTTGGCAACACTACTGCTATAGGAGGTCACTCTTACTTTCATTGACACCTGTCAATCACTATACTTTTCTTTTGGGTTCGACAAATGGTTCAAGTAATTCTTTGCGGAATGCCAATTGTCGTTTCCTTTACTTTTTCATGAGACGATTGGTAGTTCAAACTAGGTCCTTGCGGATCGCTACCAACGACTCCCTCTTCTATTTTCCTCCTTTTCCTTATATTTGTGAACATAAAACACACACAAAAAAAGAAAAAAAATAGACGAAAATAACGAAAATTCATCTTTAAAAACTGCAAATTACGAAACAAAAAATCGGCTTGTAGCATTTAACACCTCTTTTTCTTTCTCTCACTATCTGGCCCATTATGTGTTATTCTGGTTCCCGATATCTGAAACGGCACCGAAGGAGGCCCTGCTGCAGAAACACCTTCGGAAGCCATTGGAAAACATCTCCGGAGGATCGCCGCCCGCCAGACGCCCCAAGATCCAGCGAAGACAGGAGCTCGCCAGTACAGGTTCGCCGTCCTATGATACTGTGGACGGGCGCCGCCTGCTTGGACGCCGCAGACCCAGTCAAACTCCGGGAGCTCATTAGTGCAGGTATCAGCCGCCCTACAATGTCAAAGAGGACGCTTCCTGCCGGACGCCCGTAGATCCTGACAAAGATTACGAAGACGTTTGTACGAGTGCGCAGTCGAGAAGGACCTGGACGGAGATCTGCGAGATGTGCATTGGGCGAATAGGCCGCCGAGTTTGACCTGTACACAGACTAAGAGAATGTCTGGGCGAGGTACTGCGCGAGACCATTCGAGGATGTGAGGATGTCGAGGACGGACGGATTACCAGGGACCAAAACGAGGATAACGACACAGAACGAGCAGCCATGGAGATGCACCAAGATACCGCACCCGAGATCAAGGACGAGTAAGTTAGAATAAGCCAGGTTGGGTCACCCTTGAGGAAAGTCTAGATCGCCTCGAGGACGAGCCGTGAGTAGGTGGCCGAGCAATATACTGTGTATTATATTGGTATTATATGACTGCGTAGCGACCACGTGGATGCTAGCACCAGTCGCGTAGCGCGCCCACATTAACTCGTCCCCACTCGCACTAGCCGCGTGGCTTGGGTACGCTACCTACCCTCGTCTCCAAGCCAACACTCGGATATTTAAGGCCTGCAGGTGACCCCTGTAGAGCCTCCGGGCTAGTACAGTGGTAACGTGCCGGCCTCTCATCCGAGGGGTCGGCGGTTCGCGCCCCGCCCAGGCGCGAGAAGTTGCAATTGTCGCCTGGAGGTTACTGCTGTGGCTGGGCACCACGGCAGGTAAGGACTAAGCTTACCCGAGTCAGCACCTGCTGACACACTGTTAGCGAGTCGACATTAGTCGGCACAGGCCGGGCTCCCCCATAGCCCGGGCGAGGCTCAGCTTCGCATATCGGACTTATCTTATCCTTACCCCTGTAGACAGAGTGTACCGTGCTGCGTTCGAGATAACAACTGCCCGCTGGGCCGGGCTCGCCCGTGACCCATGACCAGCCCTTAACCCAAGACTTGTTTCGTTGTGTTATCATAACCGTGTTTCTAACCAATGTTTAGAGGTTCAATCATCATAACCCTTTACACACATACATACACATATATACATAGATATACACACATATATCTATGTATATATATGCATAATACTTGTTCATACATATGTATACATATATTTATGTATAATATATGTATCTCTAATTATATCCATCTATTTCATTTTTCAAATACGGAGACACATTTATATATATATATATATATATATATATATATATATATATATATATATATATTATATATTTGTATATATATACATATATATACATGTATATATATATGTATATGTATATATATATATATATATATATATATATATATATATATATATATATATATATATATATATATATATACACACACACACACACAAAATATATATATATATTTAAATATAATAAATAAATATATAAATACATACATATATTTATGAAAAAAAACATGCATATATATACATATGAATATACATGTATATATATACAAATATATAAATACATACATATATATACATACATGCATATATACATACATACATACATACATACATACATACATACACACACACACACACATATATATATATATATATATATATATATATATATTTTTTTTTATGTATATATATATATCAAGATGAGAGTTCTAGATTGTTATGTGAAACCTGTCCTTATGCATGAAAGCGAATGTTGGACAATAACACCAACAACGAAAAAAAGGTTAGAATCATTAGATATGTGGTTCTTCAGACGAATGTTTCGAGTCTCGTGGACAGAACATAAAACAAACGAAGAGGTCTTAGTAAGAGCCGGTGCAGAAAGGTGTTTACTGCGAAACATAAGAGAGAGACAGCTTAAGTTTTTGGGCCACGTTATGAGGAAAGAAAGTTTGGAACATCAAATAATCACAGGAAAAATTAAAGGAAAGCGGAGTGCAGGAAGAAAGAGGATAACTTATCTAGAAAGCCTGAGCAGGTGGACAAAGATGGATAAGTGTTTGATCTTGAAAACAACAAAAGATAGATGGCAGTGGAAGGTCATGATCGCCAACGTTCTGGAAGGACATGGTACTTAGAGAGATATATATATATATATATATATATATATATATATATATATATATATATATATATATATATATACATATTTTTAACAGCCATTCATTCATAGGTCTCGCTCAATTCACTATTGAGAAGTTATATGGCAGTGTCACCTTTGCCTGACTGGATGCCCTTCCTAATTAGGCGCTAATACTTATGCCAAAGCGATAAGTATATATGCATATATATATGCATATATATATATATATATATATATATATATATATATATATATATATATATAAAGGCATGCACATGTATATATATTCTTTTAACCTAGGTCTAAGAATATGGCGTCTTTTGAATAAGCCAATCATAATAACCCTGTAAGCACAATAAGAAAAGTGTACACTTGGTCTCACCTAGTAGAATACTTCAGGCAGGCCTCGATAGGTTTTCCCTGGGCAATATTCGCAACCTGTGTTAAGTCTGGAGCAGAGAACGGAGTGAACTGCCGTGCGTTTCCGCGCGGGTCAGTTCCCGCAGCTCCCACGTTACAGGTGCCATCTGTAAAGACATTCTTGTTATAACTTTATATGTTGCCACTGACATTGTGTCACTTTAGTTAATTGTGGAATATTTTGTTCACGTTATGTATGGCAATGGTCACAAATTCAAGAAATATAGTGATCATGTATGGTAAGTAGGGCTTTTCAACCTCTTCTGTATATTGTGAAATAAATGTGAATAAACGTAATATATCAGTGGAAATGCATTATATGAGCACCATTATTTAATCATCTGTACCAGTCGTTTGTTATCAGTTGATGCTTATGTTTTTATTTTATTTTCCTCTTTCCTCTTCAACTACAAAAGTCTATGTTCTGTTAAGGGGAAATATATGTCCGTTGTAATTTCATCTAAGTCATACATATCAGCAAGTAAAACTGTTAATTCAGCAGACCGCAGTAACTGAAAGCAGTGAAATATTTCCTGAATTGTAAGACTAAAAGAAGGGAAAGAAGAAGAAAAAAAAGACCCATTTCTTCATTGTAGTCTGTCAACTGATATGAAGTAAATGATTCGATTAGTCTCTCATTTTCTTCTAAAACACGTGAACGTCGACTTATTCTTTAATTTAAGTATCCCATTATCGTCCTACGAGCTTATAAATATTGCAAAAGAAGAGATATATGATTTAGAAATGTCACTTATCAATACTCTCGTAGAACCGATTTCGTCCATGGTGCGTGTAAGCCGTCCATTACTGATATTTGTGGATTAGATTTTGTATTTTATGAACAATACTCGATTTACTTTGTCACAGACATATCCAGAAAAAAAAAATATTTCCACGTTTCTTTTCTCTCTTCCAAGCGATGGTTGTTATGCGACAGAAACAATGATACCAGGTGATGTGTAGCCTCAAACAGCAGATTCTATAGGGCGCCACCTCCCCCTGTGTGCTAGGAAAAGTTGAGCTTCCAAACAGTAGATCAGTATTCGGGCGCCTTAACCCAGATGGTCGCAAAATAATTCTGAGGGGTCAAGAGATCCTGAAACTCCTCCTTCCCCTCTTCCTCCCAGTGCTTATCCAAACGCGCTAAGTATTTGTCATCGGTGGTTAGCAAGTACTAGAGAGAGATCGAGATCCATACAAACTTACATGCGTGCATACACACCTACATACATACATATGTACATACATTCATGAACATGCAAGCAGATACACGGAGACAGGGGAATGTGTTAGTGATTGTTAGAATTGCTGGGAGAGTGGGTCGCGAGTATATCGTAATTAGCAGGTGTCGCAGCTAAGAGTTTGAAAACCCCTGCTTTAACCCACTGAGCCAATGAGCACAAGTTATTAAGACGCCATGTATATAAAAGTTTGTCTTAGAAATAGTTATATATCTTACGTAGTAGCTACGTTAATATTGTACGTTTCGGTACATGCGGTTTCAGAAAAGTGTCTGATGGGGAGATAGATATTTTGTACTTGTGATTCAAGATGAACGAAGCTTTCGAATTGAACGTTTCCCTGTTAAATATGCTGTAAACGTAAATCTTACCAAACAGCGATTTGTACACGGTTCAAGTGCTACGTGTGTGATCAAAGTTTGGATACCATTGCTTCAGAGGAGAAAAGATAAATCTCAAGAGCAGCTAAATGTGAGTGACTAAGTTGATGGGAAGACACATAGCTTTTTATTGTTCCTATGCATAATTAGGACAGGGGTATAACGAAACACTGTCCTACTCATTTACATTGAGCAGGTCCAAATGCAATATTAACTGCTATCTGCATTTGGGAAACAAACTGCTTGAAAAGGTCTACAAGTGATATTCGCTAAGCACATTATCACAACGTCAAGCAACTTTGTCAGGGGAAAAGCAATTTACATCAACACATTTCTAGACCAGGAGGGAGGCCAGGGCAAAGTCGCTCACCAGAGAAGCTGTAGATGGAAGCTTTCAGCTGGTGGGCCGTTATGGCGCAGACGGTCTCGGAAGCTGCATAGTACGAAGCCGCCTGCTCGGGAATGCATGGCAGAGGGTGGCTGACCTTATTCGCAACGTCAGCGGTCGCGCACAGAGCCAGACACGCCCACGCCCACAGATGCATGATCTTGCTTGAAACCTGGCGACGGATGTTCATGGTTTTGTTCCTCTGGCGAAAACAGGAGGATCTGCCGCTCGCCTCTGACCTCCGGCGCAGTCTGTGCGACAGTGCCGGTGCAGCATCGATCGACGGTTGTCAGATCGCGTCCGTCCAGGTGGTTCCGTAGGGAAAAAAGGGATTTGTGTAATATACATATACGTGTGTGTATATAAAGAACACACACATAGACATATATGTATATATATATATATATATATATATATATATATATATATATATATATATATATATATATATAATGTTTACATGTATATAACACATCCACACACAGACGAACAAGCACACACATACCAAATATATACACATATATATATATATATATATATATATATATATATATATATATATATATAAATATATATATATATATATATATATATATATATATATATATATATATATATATATATATATATATATATATATATATACGAATACACATACCTACACAAACACACAAATTTATATATATATGTATATATATATATATATATATATATATATATATATATATATATATATATATATATATATATATATATATATATGTAAGTGTATATATATACATATATG